CCCCCCCCCCGACTCGGGGAGTCTCAGTGTTCCCCTAATTTGGCGTCCCACCCTCCTGACGCAGCTGAGACTATAATAAGTGCTGGCGTGGGCGGCTCTAGGAGGCAGGAGCCAACAGCGTGCTTGGCCTGGTAGGGGGTGAGGGGGGGGGCGGTACCAGGATGCTGGATGCCCTTTGTTCTCCCTGAGACCTGTACCCAATCCCTCTTGGGTCCAGTCCTGAGGTCAGCACCCCCTCTCTCCACCCCACCCTGGGATGACACCATTCCCAGGACAGGAGACTCTTCAGTAGCCTTTTCTGAAAGAGAGGGTGAGGGAGTTTTGTTGATTCTGCCTTAATTTTTCCTTCCTTCCTTTGGTGGCCTCAGTTTTCCTTTATGTTCAGTGGGAACAGAATCCTGACTCTTAGAGGAGTTGAACAACTCGCTAATGAAGAGCGGAGTCTTCTGGGAGATTTCAGCCTCCACCCCTCCTCACTCCCTCCTTCTCCAGAGCTAAGTGGAGCTTCTCTACCTGGACTAAACCTTTTTCCTCCCCCTCTTTCTTTTCTACTGGGATGGGGCTTGGAGTTCCTCCCCTGGGAGGCCCCATGGGGCCACTCCCTCCATGTGGTCTTTCCACCACTGAGGCTGTAGGTAAGGCACCTGCCAGTGGTTGTTCTCAGCAAAGGGTGGGGGGGACAGGAGATGAGAGGGGCACTAGCCTCAGAAAGGCAACGGGAAAGGGATCAGACTGTCCCCTGAGGAACCCGAATCAAATGTTCCTTCTCCAAGTTACGGTCTGGTGGCCTCTGCAGTCAGAGAAGTCCGGCAGGAGGTATCCCTGATGGAAAGAATGGCCTCTCGACCCCCCACCTCCACCCCAAGTAGGCAGCTAAGAATGGAGCAGCTGGGAGAGACCAGGATATGATGAAGGATGTGCTCTTCCCAGACACCTTTCACGGACAACATAGCTGGCTTTTGTCGTTCTTTGCCACCTCAGAGGTAAATGGGATGACAACAGGCTGGAGACCACTTTCAGTTCCACCAGTTCCCTAGTGGTGGGGCCTTGTGGATATGGAGTAGCTGTTCCTGCTGGGGCCCCACCACAGGATTGAAGGTTGGGGTGGGCAGGAGGATGTGGCGGATGGTGTTGCCATGGCAGCACTTCCTCCCTGTGTTGTCATCACTTGTTCTAATGGCACTAAGGAGGTAGAGCGGAAGGTGTGTGTGCTGGGGGTGGTGGGGAGGACAGGAACAGGGGCATAGGGAAGAGAGGGGACCGAAAAGAGTCCTGGGGACTTCTTTGCACTTTAGCTGTGCAAAGCATGTAGTAGGAGTGGCAGTGTGTGCCTGGGGGCCTGAGATTCTCTGCGTGGTGTATTTTCAATGTGTGTGTGTTTCTCTCTACAGCTGGAGAACAAGAGGTCACCGATCCTTTGTGGGTCCTGGGAATGGACACATTATCCAGTCCCAGAACCTCCTGCCCCATACTGCTTCCTGCCCTGGACTCCCCAGGCAGGGTCCAAGTCTACCATGGGTCTGTCACAGCCTCTCTTCCCCATGCTCACCCACTTCTCCATTGCCAAGAAGGTCAGCTCAGCAGTGACTTGTATTTTGATCCCCTGGGAGAAGGATCAGAATTGGGGAAAGAGGGAGAATGACACCTCCCATATCTTTTTCCATCGTGTCCAAATGTATTCTTCCCCCGAGTCCCAGCTCCATCTAGAGGACTAGGAAGTGGCTGATTGGGAAGTGACGTGTGACACAGCAAGCCCTTCTATCCCCCTGCTGGTCCCCGAGACACCCAAGTTTGGAGCTAACCCTTCTCTTACCTCGCACACTGTCCAGTGAGGCCTGGATGCTGTTTCGAAGTTCAGGGTCGCCCACCCTCTCTGCCAGCTTCCTGAGGCGGCTTAGAGACTGCTTGGCCACCTCGTGTCGTCTGACTTCTGCTCTCACTGCAGCAACAGCCAACTGCCTCTGGGCATGCATGTTGCCCAGACCTGTCTTGCCAGGCTAACAGCAACTTCTGGTCCTGAAGCCCATGGCCCTGCAGTCCCCAAACCCCAGAAGGCCCCTTCTGCTGTGCCTCAGAGCTCACCGCTCCTGCCCGCCCTTCCGTCTGTCGGCCTCACTTCCTGACTGGTGAGTTTCAAACCCACAGCCCGGGACAGCACTACCTCCTGCACCTCCCACCCCCTCTAGCGTTGGCTCATCAACTTTGCCAGCCAGCCCCTTCTATGATTCCCCCAGCCAGGTGGATGGAGAGACCTTAACAAGGATCCTAGGGCCTCCTGTGGGAGGTAGCTAATTAAGATGGGTGTTGGTGCTAGGAGAATGTGGCAAGCCAGGCCCCGGGTGCAATCCCAAACTCTTGGTGACCAACAGATTTGTGTTCAGTCTCAAACTCTGACAGGAACGCATACACACTCGGTCTCACTCTTACAGCCCTGCATTCCAGCTTAGGATTGTACCCACCGCCCACACCACACATCCAAAGAGTTTGCATACCTACAGTTTGCTCCATAACCCTTCCTTAGTCAGCCACCCCACGGTAAGCAGCTTTTAAAAGGCCAAGTAGTTATGGGGAGAACAGGTTATGGAGGAGAACAGTAATTCTAACCAGACAAAACCACCAGGCTCTCTGCTCAATTACTTTCATAATAATTATCTATAACACTTAATAGTTTACGACGCACTTTCAAATATGTTGTCTTCATGACAGGCCCCAGGGGTGCAGGAAAGGAAATCGAAGCTCTGAGAGGCCAGTGTGAGGTGAAACAAATCTGTGGGTCTAGGTCTCCTTCTTTTTTCAAGTTTTTATTTTTAAGTAATCTCTACACCCAACATGGGGCTCGAACTCACGGCCCTGAGATCAAGCACCGCACGTTCCACTGACTGAGCCAGCCAGGCGCCCCATGGGTCTAGGTCTTCTGATTATAACCCCAATACTCTTTTCACTATACCCCCCAACCAAGATGCTTGCTAGTCAGTTTCCCTTATCCCTGATAGCACTGTCTTGCCCTTGATGTAGGACCTGAAAGAGAAGAGGGTGGATGAGGAACTGAAGAACAGAATGAAGACGCAGGGGAGATATTGAGAGAAAACAGTGGCTAGTTTGATCTAATCGCTTTGCTTCAGGACTCAAACCTTTCTGGCTCTGCCAAATGTCTCTTCGCCTGCATACCTTCTTGACATTAATTTGTGAAGGATAGCAGATTATAACTATGGATTCTTTATTGTATAGATAGAGACAAGGGAATCAGAGTTGGGGTTACCTACTGGAACTTATAAAACAGCCTGATTATAATAGCGAACATTGAGTGTTTACTATATGCCAGGTAATGTCATAAGCATTCTGCATATATTAACTCATTCAATTCTCCTAACAACCCAAGAGACAGGTGTATTGTTATTTATCCCCATTTACAGATGAGGAAACGTGCAGAGAGAGCTTAAGTAATGGGCCAAAGGTTACACAGCCAGTAAGTGGCAAAGTTGGAACCCGTGCAATCGGACTGTAGCAGTTAAGATTTACTGCTCATGCAGTCCTAGAATCTAAGTACATACAAACTGAAATCATCCCGTGGGGTTGAAGGGAGGTTTTTCGTTTGTGTTCCCATTACCACTGTTTCTCTTGGAAAAGAAGAATTATGCCTTTTCTCATCTCCGTGAAAAGCATTTATTCAATAATAAGCATATTTTAAATTTTTTTTTCAACGTTTATTTATTTATTTGGGACAGAGAGAGACAGAGCATGAACGGGGGAGGGGCAGAGAGAGAGGGAGACACAGAATCGGAAACAGGCTCCAGGCTCCGAGCCATCAGCCCAGAGCCCGACGCGGGGCTCGAACTCACAGACCGCGAGATCGAACTCACAGACCGCGAGATCGAACTCACAGACCGCGAGATCGTGACCTGGCTGAAGTCGGACGCTTAACCGACTGCGCCACCCAGGCGCCCCTCAATAATAAGCATATTGATCAACCTCTATGCCCACCTTCAGAGTGAAAATGTGGAGACTCCTCCTTCCTCTCATATTTATTCATATTCCAGACCCCTCCCTTTGGCTTTTTTTTTTTTTTTTTTTTTTTTTTTTTTTTTTTTTTTTTTTTTTTTTTTTTTTGCAAGCCATGGATCAGGCATGTGTTCTGAAGACACCGAGTACACTCATGTCTGCCCTTGTGGCTTTGTCACTTCAGAAATGTTCTGGCCCGAGGCGGCTGTTTTGCACACTGCATTTATAGCATATTCACACCCAGCTACGAGGGGATATGGAAGAGGATATGTGTACTAGTGGACACACCTGCAAACGCGTGACGATTTGCTGGATGTTGCTGTGCCGAACCCAGGGCTTCTGTGGCCGGGCTAAATAGCTTGATGTTTTGCTCCTCTGGGTGTTCTCGAGTGTGATGCAATAACAACCAACAATGGCGTCATCATGAGATCACTGCAGGACAAGGGGAAAGGGGCGGTGAAGGGCGCTCCCTCGAGGGGAGGAGCCCTTGGGCCCTGCCCTCCAAGCCGCACCTACTCGCTCTTCCACTGGGTTTCTCCTGGGCCTCCTTCCTCGCATTAGCCCTCTTCCAGCTGCGGCCACAGAAAGCTCCGCTTTCAATCCGGGGTTTTGAAGTTTAGGCTCTGGTCCCTATGAGAATCTATGGAAGCCCTACCCCCAGTTTTAAGTTTCAGCCAATAAAGAACCTAAAGGAGGGGCCGGCAGGCGGATTAGTGACGCAATGCAGACTGATTGGCATTCAGGCCATCGACGTCCTGGATTAGCCCCGAGTTTCTCCAATCCAGAGGCAGGGGTGGGCCGGTGCAGGCGCAGAGAATTGGGTTTGGCTGGACTCGATTTAAAGAGACAGAAGCTGTCGGGGTCCAAGAAGACGGTCCCCAAGACCCTCCCCCCAAGTCCTTGGGACCACTTGGGTCCCCAAAGCTGGGGAGATGGTTTGCGGTGGCTTTGCCTGCTCCAAGAATGCGCTGTGCGCGCTGAACGTGGTCTACATGGTGAGGTTTTGGAGGGGGGGGTGGGGGGAGAAGCTTCAGGGCGGAAAGAGGAGTGGGAAGAATCTCTAGGGGACTTCCGGTGGGAAGAGGGGTGTACTGGGGGTTCCGGGAAAATTCCCGGGAACTTCCGGCGAAGAGGGAATTCCAGGGGACTTCCGTGGGAAGAGGGGAGACTTCCGGTGATCTGAGGGTTTGTGTGGAGGTGGGGGGAATGAACTGAAGGCTGTGGGTATAAAGGCCAATCCCTCCCTCCTGTGATTTTGTTTCTCTCAAAATAGAAGTAATGGATGAAACTACAGGTTCCTTTTTATATGCATAGACTCTCTGCCTGCTGCCCCCACCCCTGTCCCAGTCATTCTGATCTCCAGTGGGAGCATACACCTCCTCTCCTTCGTTCACGCAAGCCCAGTTCTTCTTTGTCCAAGACTCCCTTTAAGGCTTTTGGCTGTGCTGCACGCTAGAATTCTTTTGAGATGTAACGTGCTCTGTTTCCTGTAGCTGGTAGGCTTGTTGCTCATTGGAGTGGCTGCTTGGGGTAAGGGCCTGGGTCTGGTGTCCAGCATCCACATCATCGGAGGAGTCATTGCTGTGGGAGTCTTCCTTCTTCTCATCGCGGTGGCTGGACTGGTGGGTGCTGTCAACCACCACCAAGTACTGCTATTCTTTGTATCCTGACCTTAAGTGATGGGAGCACCCGGGCTTTGGGGAGGGCTGAATCTGCTAGGAGGAATGTTGGAAAGGGTAGACTTGAATGATCTTGGGGACGTGTCTCCTTGCCCTGCCTTATACCATACTTTATGAAACCAGACCTGATTTTATTGTTTTCAACTAACGTGGTTATAGTTCTGCGAACAGGTGAGATCAGATGGTTATTGTAGGTGCAACATAAAGGAATCTAGGCCTTTTTTTGTTTGTTTGTTTTTTTCCTGTAACTCTTCCTCTCAGTACATGATCATCCTCGGTTTGGTCTTCATCTTCCAGTTTGGGATCTCTTGCTCATGTCTTGCTATTAACCGAAGCAAACAGGTAAGTGGATGCCCTTTCAAGTACTTGCTTTTTTCCTCCCTCTCCCCTCTCCTCTCCCCCTCTCCCTTACTCCCCAACCCTAAGTCTGGACCTCTCAGTAGGCCCACTTCCAGACTCTTGAGCCATTTGCTTCCTCTGGGAAATCTGGCTAATTTTCCAGTATTTTCCAAAACCTGAGGTGGATTTTTATCATTTTCTGTATAATAAACCCTTATTTCTGAGGGATGTTGACTCCCTTTGCTGGAATAGGGAAATTGAGGTATTTGAGGTCAGGATGTAGGAGCATCCAATTTCCCTCTGCCTATATTCTCCAGACGGATGTCATCAATGCGTCTTGGTGGGTCATGAGCAACAAGACCCGGGATGAACTGGAAAGAAGTTTTGATTGTTGTGGCTTGTTCAACCTCACAACCCTGTATCAACAGGACTATGCTTTCTGCACTGCAGTGAGTTGTGCTGGGGGGAGGGGCGGTGTTGGTAGGAAAGCTGGTTAAGGACAATGCCCAAATTGGCAGATTTAAGAGTTTGAATGGGATTGTCTCTCTCTAGCAGCTCTCTTGCTGTGTGCTGGGGGGGAAGGGATGGATACAAAGGATAGAGAATTAGTCAAGTGAGATTTCAGTCTGTAGGAGAATAATCAGAAACTAGTAAAAATTTCTGGGGCCCTTCACCATTAGTGTTGGGATAGGGCAGCCTAGCAACTGTGCGTCCTACACACACACACACACACACACACAC